ATGATATCTCGTTTATATAAAATCAAATCAATTTTTAAAACATATTTGTAACTACATATTTATATACAATATTAAAAAAAACAAGAGATCTGAATTTAAATACTTCCAGTTCCAAGGGCGTAGAGAAACTCACCGATACTCTTAAATCGCCAAATTTTTTGTTAATTTATTCAATCACTACGTAAAAGATCTTACGTAATTACCTAATCTACAAACATTCTATAGACACTTAGTTTAGCTCCACTGACCACATAAATATGACAAATCTTTTATGTTTTATATAAATACATTAACTTCATAATTTTTTCCTTGATTTATATTCTAAACACCTTATTGTATTATAAATTTGAAGCTCCTATGTCTGTTAGAAGTGCTACAGAGTTTTGATGATCAGTCAGTCAGTTTCACAACGCAGTGGTAGAAATAGGGGGTCGAAAATGGCCTGAACTGCTTCGAGAGAAGGATAGAACGGCCTCTTTTTGTTCGACTTGGCGGGCGCACTGCCGTGCCCCAGGATGGTATTTACAATTAGCAATTATTTAACCTAGGTCTTATGTTATTCTCGCCAGGAAACCAACAGGACTAACCATCAAGGTAGCTTCTATAATGTTCCCTATAAAGAAAACTCCTTACTTAGTTAATACGCATGAAAAACCACTTAAAATTTTCTATGCTGAACCAAAAAGAAAAACAAATCAAAAATGCAAAGTAACAACCAATGGCGAGCTTTAATGGGCGAGCTTTTAAATTAAACAACGCGTGACTTGACCGTACTAAACGTACAACCTACCTTTAAATAATAAACAAATGACGGCATAGCATACTCGCTCGTATTTAGATATAGAGAAGGGTTGAAACAGCGTGCTGAAAATCCTAAGTTAGTCTAAATTTTTTGCTTGCTTTATACGGTTAGCAAACAAAGTTACCACGAGGGCTCACTTATATTTTGATATATTGCTCATAATAATATGGGTTTCACTTTAAAAATCGCATTACCGTGTTTATTTAGCTTGACAATTACCATTTAAGGTTTGTTTAGCTAGTTAGTGATGGGTTTAGTAAAGTAAAACATTTTATATATTGTTTATCTTAAGATCCTTTGTCATATTCACAAATTAAACCAACAGTGTATAATTGATAACTATACATTTTGACATTACAAATTTGGACTTTGTTTTATTGCGAAGTTCAGTGTTAGTTGTATCCAATGGTTAAGCGCGCGTTCTCACTAGGGTCGATTTTTGTCTATGCGCATTGTCAATGAATGAATCAGGTCAATATTATATTAAAAAATCGACGACATTTCTCACTCTAAAGGCCGGGAACGCACTTGCGACTGCTGGCATTCAGAGCGTCTATCCCCGATTTCCCCCTGCTTGAAAGGCACGACTACCTAGAGGGTCACGTTAAAATTAGTATTCAGTGTTTTTTTAGTTAAAAGAACTAATCGTATCGACTATGAGAGTCGATAAAAATGAATATCGCCCATAATTATAAACACACATCATTGTTAGTTCATTTTATAAATTATATTGTCAAGGGTAAAATACTATTTTAACAATTTGTAAATAGGGGTAGAATACTTGTATTTGGTTTATGATCGTTGGCCGGTTTGTTTTCCCAAGTCGCGCGACTCTTTTATGGGTTTCATATTTTTGTAAACATTTGCTATTTGACTCACGTTTGAAATCTAAGGGCTTAAAATACTAGCGTAACCTATTTACCCAGCTATTTCAAAAATACAGGTTTTACATACAATTTTATCCCGTAATTTACTCCTATATTGGGGGCTTTTCTAATACCTGTTTATCCGTGTTTAAACTACTACAAAATTGTGATACTATTCACATTATTGATTTAGTGAATTGTTTTATTTTCTTTTACATATTTATATTATAGAAATACATTCATTATTCTTACAGAATATGCCAATACGATAATGTCGAGAAACGTTAAATAAAATATAATAAAGTACATATATAATATTAAATCCATAACATACACAATTTCGCTACCTTCATTCACTCTGCGAACATATAAATATGTCGATAGTTTCGGAGACAGCATTCAGTAGGTGCAACGTATTGGATCTTAGAGCTTCAGGTTGCTTTAAAGATATTTAAGTTATAAAATATTTTAAATTATACACGTTTTAATGTGCTATAACAAAATACAGTATTAAATAATCAACCGATCTTCTGCATGCCTGACTATTTTATTATCACGGCAATACCCACTATTAATACATATTTCATACAAAAACTGTAAAGCTAACAAAATTACTCTATATCTACAATTGCCGCGCCCTACTTTATTACTCTTAATAACCAAGATGACTCTATCAACCCCCCAAATTTTGTTTACCTAATAGAATAACGAGCTATCGTATAATAAATTGGTAGATTTCCATACTCGATAGCCGTCCGTTTATCATTTTAATACGAGAAAGTGCTCGTGACGTCATTAAGTTCGAAGCCAATATTACTTTCGATTCGAATATCAACTTTATTACTTTGAAATAAGGATGCTTCGAACGCAAGTGTATGGTTGTTCGTGGAACTTAAAAGGGCAGAAGATTGACAGTACGTTATTAAATTGTGATACAAATGACACAGGCGGGCGATGATTAGTAATTTTATAACGTTGTTAGTTTGGAATTATGGGAGGGTAAATAAACTACCGATTTTTATGTCTTTATTAACATTTGCATATTTCATGTGTTTACTATTGAGCTATTAAGCTGGAAATTACAGGGTTGTGTAGGCGCGTTTTAAAAATGCTTTTTTTTATGGGACAAGAGGCAAATGAACAGCCTGTCATTTTGAATAAAGTAATAACCTCCGCCGTTAGACTCCCGCGACATCTGGGCCTAGCGGGTGTGTTGTACCTTTCAGGGAATGGTACGCTCTTTTCTTGAAGGCACCTAAGTCGTATCGGTTTTAAATACCTCCACTGGCAGCTGGTTCTATAACGAGGTGCTACGTGGCAGAATATGCCTTAAACGTTGTCATGTGGCGGCGAAATGAAGAGGATGGAATTTGAATTCTACCTCGATGTCCGATGATGGATTTTTTTATATTGAGAAAGTTTACTCTACTCAAAGTTGAACAATTACTTGTCGTAATAGTAAAAGCTTTGGTTGTCGTCGGCAAGGTGGATAACAACTAGCTGGTCACGATTCTCATGGGTCTTCCCACAACAGCTGCCATAAGGGAAGGTAAACACTGAAGAAAGTGGAGGGATATCACTAGCAGTTCTTGTGCTATCCCTCCACTTGCCTTTCTACGGTGACTCGACACTCAGCAATGAAGAATACGACTAAGAAGAAGAACGTAATAGAACGTAATAGTACCTAACGCAAGTTTGTTTCGAATCGGCCTGTCTTTTATTGGGTTAATTAATTCATATAATTTGTATAATAAAAACATCATGTTTTATTCTACTATACGTATTTTCCGTAAAACATACAAAAGCAGCTGCAAAACCGATAAGAAATTGCTTCCAATGTGATCACTTAGCCCCGTCGTTGATTAGTGGAAATCTCGAATAGCAAACACCTGAGGCCAAATTGTATTAGAGTTTCCGTCGATATCTTAGGTAATTTTATGTGATTTTCACCATGAAAGGAAAATACTTCCACGTCGATAAAGACGGAAACTCGGAGAACGATGAAAGGAGGTTAAAAATTTGCCACACCTGCTTGAAAAGTCCTTAATTCGCTGTCGCAGTAATCCATCCGTGAGATTTGGCAACCAAAATAAAAGAACATTATTTTTTAGCGTGGTACTATGGTAGGAATATTTGAATAGAAAAAGTATTAATAACACGTTTTTAACAAAATTGGTTTTATTTATATAAATAATAATAATAGGTAGTTGTTATAACAATTATTATGATCCATAAGTTATAAAATAAAAAAGTTCGGTGTGAAATATTAATTCATTACCTACAAGAGATTGCAACTTCGAAAAAATTTGAATTATTTAAAGAAAACTTTTTTTTCAATATAATAAATTAGCTGTTTAACAAAAACAGCTAATTTATTATTTTTATTTCCTTATAGTTTAATTAAATAGTTTATCTAGTAGTTTTCTATAAGTTTGCAGATTGAGAGGTTTGCTTGGCTTACAGAGTGATATGACGTGCCATCAGTTAATGAGGAAGGAACGAACCTCGACCGGGATGCCGATAATTACGCCAATCATTAATGCGGGCATAACAAATCCCCGGGAAGCTTTAATCAGGACGCGACGTAACAACAATTATACTTGTCAGTCATATCATTGGTCTTCTATGGCGCAGTGGCTATTTTCCAAAAATTTTAATTATAAAGATTATGTTAGAACTATTTAGCCGTAAAAGTTACTAAAGAAGTGATAGTTACTAAAGTTACTAAAAAGATGATAAAATCCAATCGCACCAGATGTAACGTTTTTGACTTCAGTACAAAAAATCCCCGAGGGGCTAAAGTAGCGAGGCAAGCAATTCAGAACCAATACAACGCAAGAAAAGCGTTATGTGTTTGTTCAAGTTCAAACAACTTTCTGATTAATATAAATTATTTTACACAAATCCACAAGAGTCGTATAAACTAGTGTCTGTGTTACCAGCAGAGCACAAAAAAGTTAGAGTTCTGGCAGCACACTCAATAGTTCCATTTTACACATGAATATGTTCTTGTTAATAATACCCATACGTTGTCTTATAATTACACGGTATCAGAACTGCGGTTATTGTACCAACATTTTTCTAGAGACCTAAACTCTGATGTCATTCAAAAATAAAGTTAACTTAAGCTTATATATAACTTAAGCACTGTAATGTAATCATAAATAATAATGTCAAAAATAAAAAAAATATTAACCAGAATGGGTAGATTGCTAACGTAGAACGGGAAAAGTTAAACGACAAATGATTACGGTATACGACTTTTTATTCCAATTTTCACAGAAAATACAGTTCAAAATATAGTTAAATATAGGAGTAAAATACATATTTTCTTAAGCGACTGTTGCAAGGGCAGCATACGTCCCAATTTTTATAGCTTGTCGTCCTTTAATGAGACGGAAGTACCCTTGATCTGCCCAATAAACGCCCCAAGAGTTCTTAATTATCCAGAACTCAGTTTCACCATCTGAAATTAGATTTTTATACGTCTAAATTAATGTTCTCTAGCCCACTCAACAGCGGCTAATCCCTATTGAGACAGACAATGTTTCTGTCTAGCTGGTGAATAAAAACACCGTAAATATTGTAATTTAACTTTAATATTTCTCTTAGCAAATTCGAATTTATTTTCGACCCCACTCAAGATTTAAATTCGAGGCGGGTTCGAATCCGAATCCTCACGATATTCAGTCCATCATACTTACTAGTCCAATGAGGAACCTTATGTATACCACCATAGTTAACCTATCCGACTATTGAGGGCTGATCACCAACATGTCTATTAATTAAAAAGGCGCACGATTTTGCTCACTTCGTTGGGGATTTCATTATCTCACCTCTCCTAATATATTTAGTAGTATAAAATATCTCATAAAAGCATTTTCTATTGTTACATATCTATTTGAAAAAAATGTATACTTATGTTACCTTTTCCATAACCAACAAGCAAAACAGCGTGATTAATAGTGGGACAAGAAACTGTGGGGGTAAAAATTGAATTTCCTCTCATATGCTTAAATTCGTCGTTAACGCAAATACCTGAAACAAATAGAAGTTATACCAAAAATTTTCTATCGGCTTTACTTCTCGGAGCTCAGACTAGTCAACAAAGTAAAACTTAAGAAGCACAGACACATACGTAGACATGAGAGAAATTTATATCACTAAATTAAATTAAATACTAGATGAAACGTATACTAAAGTTCTAAAGTTTTTTACATACAAATAGATAAGGGCCCATAATTAGCCAATGCATCTTGCAAACTATCTTCATCGTTAACTCCAAGTTGACTTCCTCCCGTGACTGTGACAGCAATTTTACTTTTGTCAGTTCTGCATTGACCTTTTACGTGCTCATAGGGATAGTCTGCTTCTGTCATTGACCCACCCTGTTCGGCTAGAGCTCTGAAAAGTGAATATCAATCCTATTGCATTGAGGTATATTTATTAGCTTAGAAATAAATAGACCATATCATTAATGGAGCACAGGCCGTCCTATCAAATTTAACTTAAAATATATGAGAATTATTCTCTTCTTAAGAAATGAATTTGCTGCTCTTCAGTACTATTTACATTTACAACAAGTTTAAATTACTTTTAAAAAAAAATCTTTAAGAATGTGTTGTTTTCATTACAGTTTTTACATCATTATACGCGATTATACAAGACGTTAAGTAATCCATTAGTCAAATAATAATATAACGCTATTTAGGAAAATAGGTTGTGTACTCACTTAAAAACTTTATGCGGCATACCACCCGCTTTACAACTTGGAGTTAAGCTGCAATCAAATGCTTGCTGATTTGATAGGCTAATTGCTGTGGTGCTGTGTGCTTTAGCATATTGTCCTTCGATATTTCCTATAATAATGTAAAAATAAATGGCATTACAAGAGATGTACCTATGATCAGCAGTAATGGATACTTTTATTACACAATAATAACGTCTAAAAATCTAAAAAAATACCTACCTACCGCGCTGAAGGCAAAACAAGACCCGCAATTCATCTGATCCTTGACTTCAGTCACATAACCGTTAGTACGCCAATCTAATTCAGATGGAAGCTTTTCCCCACTGGGCTTATACTCGATAACATCGCCCGATGTAAAGTTACCATTTAAACCCAAATAGCATTCCGAAATCTCCTCAAAGGTCAAATCTGTGAAGTGATTGATGCCATATGAGTTTTGACTGTTGTTTTCTTTATATTTGTTAATTTTTCTCAAATTTTCCTTGAATATTTCAAAACGATTCGAGCTAGATTCTTTGTTATATTTTTGAAGGAATTGCTTGTAGATCTCAGGAGCTTGGTCTAAGTCATAGTAATCCTGATCCAACAAAGAATATTCTGAAGTTAGTACTTCAGTCACAATTAACACGAGACAGAATAAGCGGAACATTGTCAGGTATGATACACATGGTAGAAATAACTCTAATTATATAGTAGTTGATATCAAATAAAATTCCAAATATGAATAATAATGCACTTGTAATGAAATATATTTGAAATTTCTTTATAAAATACTTAAAAATTCCTAAATGGTTATTAATTGAAGGATAAATACCGACTCGATAACGCACAACAAAAAACAATTTAACATTTATTTCTTGAAGTTGCCCTACATAACAGTTACATGTATTAACTGTTGATTAGAATTTTTAGAGCTATACATATTATCTTATTTTTGAAGGTCCGTTCCCAAAAATGTGTGCAATATTGTGTTTTAACGACTTAAATCGTCACATTTATATAAAATTAATCAAATGCCCTATTCCAGACTTGAACTAATTTCTTCAAACCGTAACAGTCTTGAATTTTAAGCTGACAAATTCTAATAATTATGGTAAAATGTCGATTCCAATGTGCGTGGTCTGATTCTTGTATATTGTGAGTTATACGTGCAATAAAAAAGCCGTAAAGTATTAAAGCCAAAATTAGGAACAGATATTTACAACATAACGAACGAAAAGAAACTCTGAAGGAAGGATTTCTTACCCTTCTAAATAACATTACGGACATTGTTTTCAGTATGGCAAGCTAATTGGCAAGTGTATGATACTTAGTGTTGCTATAATTATAGTTAATTTAGCGCCTCCAGCGCTGGATTTTATTTTTTAATAGTAGGCTTTAGCATAGTTATAGCAGTGTTGACCTAGTGGCTTCAGCGTGCGACATTCTTCCCTGAGATCGTAGGTTCAATCCCTGGCTGTGCACCAATGGACATTCTTTCTATACGCATTTAACATTCGCTCGAACGTTGAAGGAAAACATCGTGAGGAAACCGGCTTGCCTTAGACCCAAAAAGTCAACGGCGTGTGTCAGGCACAGAAGGCTGATCACCTATTTGCCTATTAGATTACCAAATGATCATGAAACAGATACAGAAATCTGAGGCCCAGACCTAAAAAGGTTAATATAGCTACTATCCACTGATAAGAAATATTTAATAATGTTATAGCCGGCGATTCACTATGATGGCTTTTTAATTACGTATGTTTTGTATTGGGTTCTTCTTGGATAAAAGACTGCAGGATATTTTTTCCTTACACCAGAACAATCGTATATATTGCAAGAACCATAACATAATATATATAGGTAATCACATATACCTACCTGGATTAATATAGATTCGAAAAACGTTCATTCATCGATATATACCTTGGATTATAAGGCTATAATCATGGACGCGGCGATGCAAATTGCTTAGTGAGGAGAATTAACATCTTGCAAAATTTACAAAAAATGCATACAAATGTGAGGGAATCAAATAAAATAGCTAAGAAACGATTAAAATTTTTCATAAACATTTAGCATAAGTTTTTTTAATAGTTCGTATAACGTTAAAGCCTTATTAAAATTGTATGAAGCGTTTTCCAAAATAACCTAAATTATGGTTATATATTCATACAGTGACAATAAATAGTAATTATTTTTTTATACTTTTTATTATTTTTTTCTTCTGCCATGAATTTCCTGTATGGCATTCTAAGCAAATGAAAATTGTAACTGACAATCACTTTGGCGCCTATCCTCAAATATATCTGGCAGAGGTTTATTAAGCCTATAAATCGTTTTAACCATAACAGATTTGAAGCTAATTAAGGCATTTTACATAAGGTCTGCTATCAAATGTTTTCCTTTATTTCCCAAAAGCTTTGACCCACTCTTCATGAAAGTTTAACAACTATATTTTACCTATAAATTATGAGTAATTGGTCTAACTTAGTAGGTATTTTATTTGATAATCATTGGAATAACAAACAATGCGTCATAGTCGTAGAATAGTGACGGATCTGACAAATAGTCTAGTCGACAAGTTGAAAATGGAACAAAATAGAGATACTGCTCTTAAAATTATGTGCGATACCTCATTGGATCCGGAATGATGTCTAGAAAAATTTGCTAAAAGCGTGTATTAGCACATAAAAAATTGCAAAAGTTATAGACCATTAAAGATGAAAAAAAAATGGCATTTAGTTTTTTGCCAATATTTAATAAACTATTAATATTTAATAAATTTTAAATAAAGATTCTGAAAGAGGAGGAAATTTCCAATTAAAAAAACTCTGGACTCCCGGAACTCTATCTCCATTATTTATAATGTTAATTTAACGCTGAAAATAGGTCTGCGGGTGACATTTTTAGGATTCGCGCGTGGCGTCAAAAGCGACTACGGCACATTAATTAATTTATTTAAGGTATTGAATATTATTTTTTAAATTTGAAAAAATTATGGTGTGTTCTGAACACTATAATCAATTTATTCCCGTTGAAAATTTTACTTAAAGTTAATTTTTCAACAAGTTAAATAATTGTTAACTAACGAAATTTTCTCGAACGACCGTCTTAATTGTAAGTGAAAAAAAATGTTTAAATAATGCCACATAAAACGTGCCATAAAAGTTAAAGAAATATTTATACTTTGTTTATAACAATTTTTTTACTTAAACAAAAACTTAAAAATGCATGTACTGTTGTTAAAAAATTTTTTTTTTTCTAAATCATCATATAATCGTTTTTTTATTAATACAAGATATTTATTGATTTGCAAAAAAAAAATTCCCGCCATTTGTTGATAAATTTTTTTTAAACAAATTGATTAAATCAATATTTAAAAAAAAAATTTAACACAACTTTATTTAATTAAAAATTTTATGATGTTTAAAAAAAAATTTTTCCTTCATAACAATTTTTAATTGTTTATAATCGTTTTTTTTAATTTTCTATTGTTTAAATAATTAGTTAAGAATTTTTAAAAAAAATTTTATTAACAAATGGCGGGAATTTTTTTTTTTGCAAATCAATAAATATCTTGTATTAATAAAAAAACGATTATATGATGATTTAGAAAAAAATTTTTTTAACAACAGTACATGCATTTTTAAGTTTTTGTTTAAGTAAAAAATTGTTATAAACAAAGTATAAATATTTCTTTAACTTTTATGGCACGATCTTGTTAAGTATGTATGTAAAAAAGGCTCTACGAAGCGAAATATTTTTACGACCATTATTCAAACATTTTTTTTCACTTACAATTAAGACGGTCGTTCGAGAAAATTTCGTTAGTTAACAATTGTTTAACTTGTTGAAAAATTAACTTTAAGTAAAATTTCCAACGGGAATAAATTATTTATAGTGTTCAGAACACACCATAATTTTTTCAAATTTAAAAAAAATATTCAACACCTTAAATAAATTAATTAATGTGCCGTAGTCGCTTTTGACGCCACGCGCGAATCCTAAAAATGTCACGCGTAGACCTATTTTCAGCGTTAAATTAAAACTATAAATAATGGAGATAGAGTTCCGGGAATGTAGAGTTTTTTATTGGAAATTTCCTCTTCTTTTAGAATCTTTTTTTGAAATTTCTTAAATATTAATAGTTTATTAAATATTGGCAAAAAACTAAATTACATTTTTTTTTCATCTTTAATTGTGTATAACTTTTGCAATTTTTTATGTGCTAATACACGCTTTTAGCACATTTTTCTAGACATCATTCCGGATCCAATGAGGTATCGCACATAATTTTAAGAGCAGTATCTCTATTTTGTTCCATTTTCAACTTGTCGACTAGACTAAAATAGTATACTTTACAGGGCAGCCATTTCAAAATACATAATATAATCATGTTAGTTTTTGTCATAAGTCAAAACTATTTTAATTCATATTCTGTTATTATGAAAATTGGCATACAAGCAAACTAAAGGGTATGTTTTGAAACAAAATAAAAATAATAACAGTGAATTACACAGTTTTCTAGAAAAATCACATGTTTTTGTAGCGAACAATAATTCCACTCCTCTTTTCCACCGTTTCGGCGATTTTACCGCTATGTGTGACGACATGGGCGAGGTGGGTGGAGCCTGCAGCCAGTGGCAAGCGGCAGCGCGACCAGCGGACACGCCGGACAGTGGCATTAGAACTATCAAACGCGAAACCTGTGCGCGCAAATTACGAATTCTCCCTTTGTTACTTATAATTAATTTATTTTATTTATTTATTTATTTATTTATTCCATAGAATTATTCTATCTTTACAGTAATAACTAATTCGTTAGAAGACGGTCGTTCGAGAAAATTTCGTTAGTTAACAATTATTTAACTTGTTGAAAAATTAACTTTAAGTAAAATTTTCAACGGGAATAAATTGATTATAGTGTTCAGAACACACCATAATTTTTTCAAATTTAAAAAAAAATATTCAATACCTTAAATAAATTAATTAATGTGCCGTAGTCGCTTTTGACGCCACGCGCGAATCCTAAAAATGTCACCCGCAGACCTATTTTCAGCGTTAAATTAACATTATAAATAATGGAGATAGAGTTCCGGGAGTCTAGAGTTTTTTTATTGGAAATTTCCTCCTCTTTCAGAATCTTCATTTAAAATTTATTAAATATTAATAGTTTATTAAATATTGGCAAAAAACTAAATGCCATTTTTTTTTCATCTTTAATGGTCTATAACTTTTGCAATTTTTTATGTGCTAATACACGCTTTTAGCACATTTTTCTAGACGTCATTCCGGATCCAATGAGCTATCGCACATAATTTTAAGAGCAGTATCTCTATTTTGTTCCATTTTCAACTTGTCGACTAGACTATTGTGAACTCAGCCAGTGTACAAACAAATAAGTCTACCTTAATAGAAATCTTATTTATTATGTGTATTGCTCGCGTGAGTGGTGCTTCGCTAACCAAGTTGGAATGTGCGCGCGGTACATCCAAAAGTTGAGACTTCCGCCTCAGGTTTCTACTTGGTACCCGTAGACTCAGTCTCTCCATTATATCCGGATTATGAACCCGACCCGTAAGTATCTTAAATATATACACCGACAAGGCTAGCTCTCTTCTGAGGCGTAGCTGGTCATATCCCACCATACCCAGAACAAACAGG